TGGTCATTATAAAAAGCGGTTATTATGATGACATTACTTCTAAATAAATTATCGATGGATATACATAATTATTATTGTTATTATGTAATACTGTACCATTTCACATTTGTTATAATACGATTTTTCCTTCGAGTAATAATGACATCTGACAGCATTTATTTATATTAATTTCAAGCACATTATAGCGTCTAACCAAACRAGTAGAATCTTATATCAATGACGATTTGTAGCGCATTTGACAGTTCTCATACATTATTAAATGATTGAAAAAGATCTTCAAATAATAAACATTTAGCATTCAAGAATTAAAATATCATTTATTTTGCAAAAGGAGAATAAAAGAGTTGAAAGATGACCACTCTGTGGTATTCCCAAGTAACGACGCATCTTTGTACAGATCTTATATTTGTAATCTCTAATTGATAGAGAGCAACTCAATCTCCAATAAGATTTCCAGCTGTCATACATTTTGGGAAATTCAATGTGAAGACTTGGTTTTCTACCCGATTTCCACAAGACCATGATGCTATAAAATTAATTTTTTGTGAATATTGTTTGAAATATACTCAGTGCCAATCGGTTATGAGAAGACATATGCGATATTGTAATTGGAGAACACCGCCAGGAACTGAAATCTACCGAAACGAATGTCTAAGCATTTTTGAAGTTAATCAATATTTTTTTAACAATTCATAAGACGTAAACTATAAAGTTGTTTACATGTTTTTCCTACAGGTTAATGGAAGTAATCACAAAATATATTGCGAAACATTATGTCGAATTGGAAAACTATTTTTGGATGTTAAAACTCTGGATTATGGCGTTGAACCGTTCCGTTTTTATATTCTGACGAAAAATGACTTTGCCGTAAGTATATATATTTATTTTGTATTGTATTTTCTAAAGTTATATGCTATTGTAATAATTTTTCATTAAAAATGTTAAGGGCAGCCATTTAATTGGTTATTTTTCAAAATCGAAACACAGGGAGAACAATTTTAACGTGGCTTGCATCATGGTCATGCCACAATATCAAAGAAAAGGGTACGGTCGACTTCTAATTGAATTCAGTAAGTGAAAACTATACGAAACTAGGCAGTTGTTTAAGCAGATGTCACGTGTTATCATTCTTTTTAGGTTATCTCTTATCTAAAATTGAAAAACAGCCTGGAACACCAGAAACACCCCTTTCCGACTTGGGTCAAAAGTTGTAYAATTCATATTGGAAAACTGTTATATTGGAATATTTAGATAAATACACAAATAATGGCAATAYATGTATCAATATATGTATTAATCATGTTATCAGTAAAACAGGTAATTTAAAGCTTTTTAATCTGTATTTCGTGCAATAATTATAAAATGGTAACACATTTAATTCAGGTTTAATGGAACAAGACATCATCAATACCTTAAATTCTCTGAACTTTGTTGTGAAAGTATTTAACACAACTACAATATGTATTAACTGGGATATTGTAGATGCTCATATGCAGAGAAAAATGAAGTTAAAAAAGGTTCATATCAATCCAAAAAAATTAAATTGGACACCGCCAACTAAATCATAAAATTTAATACATTTTATGAT